AAAAATAAGTTTCAGATCCCCCCAGCATGTAAAAAAATAAGTTTCACATCACCCCAGCATGACTGGAGATAGGCTCATAGGCCATTTTGGGAGGTCAGAATTCTTGTGAGGGAGGGATCCCTATTCTCACTGGAGAGAGAGGGGACCCGGCTTGGGTAGGAATGGCCCCTGAAGGGAAGAATGGCAGCAGTAATAGTGACAATGGTTTACACTTAGTGAGTACTTGCTACGTGCCAAGCACTCCACCTAGTGCTTTCCATGCATGGTCCCCTTAGGTCCCCACGCCTGTCCTGTGACCTAGGCCCTATTTTATCCCATTTTATAAAGAAACTGAGGTTCAGAGAGATAAAGTAACTCACTCAGTGTCATACAGGTACCAACTGGTAGATCCAGTGAAGTCCATCCAGGTGGATCAGACAGTTGGGCTGACTCCATCCCCCTGTGGCTCCCAGACTCTCCCATCCCACTGTGCTACGTTCCTGTGGCCTTGGTGACCAGCAGGTGTCACCAGCCTTCCTACACAAAGCTCGTCAGCCTTGAGCCTCATCCGTGCCTGGCTGGAATCCGTTTACTACCTCGCTATTCTGCCCAGTCCTTCCTGCTCAGTGGTTCCAGAGAGTAGACTGAGGAAAGAGGAGCAGATAGGACCCCATAAGCCTGGTGAGGACCTGCCCAGTCAAGGCTTCAACCTCCCTGGCAAAACCCTCCTGTAGGTGGTCCTGGTCTCTGTGTCTGTGTCTGTCTGTCCTCACGTCTGAGGTCTCCTTCGTGAACTGTGACACTCTTGTTTCTTAAGAGCTCTCAGGAGATGTCTTGCATCCTTCCAGCTTGGCCGTTCTGAGGAACTCCATGGCATCTAGGGACGGAGCCCTCACCTTTCACCCTGGCACTCTGCTTCCAGACCTGGGTGGAAGCTGTTGAAGGCAGAGTTCCCAGTACCCCAGGCAGCTCCTGTACTGAATGTGGTTTCTCCTCCCATGTGCAGTGTGTCCCTGTTTCCGCTGAGCCCTCTTCCGGGGCAGGAGAGATCCGGGGGCGCCACCCTGAGGGTCTGACGCAGCTTGAGAAGCCCTTCTTGCTTTGGGTCTCCCAGGAAGGGCCTCTTCCAGGGGCTTCAGGAGACTCCTGGCCCCCTTGTCAGACACAACAGACTCTTGCGGATCCGGCTGCCGGACTTAGGCTAGGGAGAGGGGACAGTGCAAGAGGCTTGATTTTCCTTTTTGTTTTCACAGCTGCCAAAAGCCTACTGAACAAGAAGTCGGACGGCGGGGTCAAGGTAGGTGTCTCCGCCCCTCTAGCCCAAGAGGGGTTCTTGGCTTTGTTCCTCCTTTCCCCAGGAACCTTCCTATCCTTGCTTTTCTGCTTCAAACCCAGAAACCTCTGTGCTCAGAACAGCAGGTTCCATTGGCCTGGGAGGGCAGAAGAAAAATGTATCTCTTTTGACCCTAGCTGGAACATAAAGACTCAGGGGAAGTGATCTAAATTATGGTTTCCTAGGGCTCAGTCCTGAAGCTGACTGCAGACGCGTGCCTCACCTCCACGGCTTGACTCTCGGGGTTTTTGAGGTCATTTGGGTAATCTTCTTTTTTCCTTTTTCTTTTTGGAGCACAAACCCTTTTTATCAAATGAAAGCAAAGTTGGCCTGGTTGACCCAGGGTGCAGGGCTTGGAACCTGAAGCCCCTGTCCTTCTAGTTTTTGGTCTTATCTCCAAAGCACTTCCAGAACCCAGCTCAGATGCCACTCAGTGAAAAGCGTCTTCAACTTTCTAGAGTTATAGGCTCCTCAGAAATAGGCGAGGGATGTGGTGTATCACAGATGCTCCCATTTGATGAGGGAGCTTTTCCCGTGGGATCACAGCAAGAGGCGAGAACAGGGGCGCACAGGGACCAGCGGAAAGCCTTAGTGGGAGTGGCTGCTTGGTGAAGGGGAAGGAGAGGTGGCTGGGGGTCCTCCTCACAGGGCCCAGAGTGTTCTGTAAATGCTTTGGGGGCAGAACAGGTCCTGGGGCTGGGGCATCGGATAGGCGCTCATACTATCTTGAAGCCTACCAATTGACACCATAGGGTATTTCAAACGATGAAATTATCCAAACCTTTACATCCCAACCGAAGTTGAAATGGGGCCTTTCCCCAGGATCTTTTGTCCCCAGCTGAGATATACACGTGTGCCCCATTCCCCTCCCCGCTCCCCTCCCTCTTTCCCTCATCCTCTGCATGCCTGCTTCTGTGTGCTTCTGCACCAAGGAGGGGAGCTTGGGCTCCACACACACCAACTGACGTGGATCTGGGGGTGTGACCAGCAGCCCCCCAGTTATAGGGACATGAACTGGAATGGGGGAACCAAGTTAGGAAAAGGTGGCAGGCTTAGCTGAAGAGAGATTTTGCATATTTCTATCCAGGAAAGAAGCTAGAATCAGTTATTCTTTACAAAGTATTTAATAAGTACCTATCAGAGGCCCAGTGCTGCACTCAGTTCTAGGGGCCCACAAAAGGTAGAAGAGGTGATGTGGTTTTCATCTAGCTTTGAGAAGTTGCAAGGTTAATTGAAGAGGAAATTGGACACATCTGGAATCAGCTAAGCACTGAATGGTCTATGGTACTGGACCCTACATTACATGGTTCAGTCCAAGAAGCTACTGGGCAAAAACTTACTGGAGAAAGCTTAAAGGATGTAGGAAGATTGGAACCCAGTCAGCGATTGCCTCTAGAGAATGGGATTGGAGGTGAGGACAGGATGGAAAGACACACCTTTAATTTTTCACTTTGTACACGTGTTTTCTTTAAAATGAGAAGGTGTTCCTGTTATAACTTAAAAACAACAAAATATTTTTATGGATTCTATCCTATATATTGATGTTCTCTGCCCAACTGGAACACGGGGTTTGTGCTAGAAGGATGTCGAAACTACAGCTGGATTGGTCTGGTTGGGCAGTGGGATTGGAGGTTTGTGTGTCAGACCACAGGAAATGTAGGCCACTGAGCAGGGAAGCTACGGGTGAGAGCAGTGTTTTTAAAAGATTTTGCTGAGTGTGTAAGGATGACTAGAAGAGGGTGGGAACTAGACACAGAGGTATCAGTTAGGATTTGTTATAATCTGGGCATAGGGTGAAGAAAAGGTGATTAGAAAGGACTACTATTGAAAATACTTCACCCCCAGAAGAACCCAGGCACCAACCCACGAGAATAGGCACTACCTACGGAGAATTGGTCCAGCTGTCACCAGGATTGTGAGGCTCTGATTAGCTGTTAGCTCTGTTTAGAGGTGTGTCCAAGGAAGTTCATACTGGATGTGTTAGAAAGGACCCATCAAAGATGATGTCAAAGTTCCTTGAATGTTGGAAGAATTGGTGGTACCTCTGCTAGAAATGGGAGTAGTTGTGAAGGAATACCCATTTTGATAGCAAGAGTTTTATTTGGACCCCACTGAGATGGAGAGACAGGTGATCTGGGGGGGAGAGGGCTTTTAAGGTGCTGGGAGTACCTGATGTGGCCCAGGGAAGAGGTCAGCACTACACATGGAGATGGGGACTCATGTGAGTGAATCCCATGCGTTCACTCACTCGGCCAGTTCCGTCCTTCAGGAGCTGGGAAGACAGCGATGTAATCCACCCTTTAAGGTGTTCAGAGTTGGGGAGAATCAGGGAAACCAGCAGTCCTGGGTGCTCTGGGCAGGTCTGTCGAAGGAGGTGTGCTCAGGGTGGGCCCTGGGGGAGCAGAGACCAGCTTCTAAGCCAAAACAGGAAATCTTCTGAAGGAGATGACCCATGAACTGGGCTGAAGGATCTTGCTAGGTCGAAGTGAGCAGGACAGGGAGGGGGATATTCCAGGCAGAGGGAATAGCATAAGATATATAGATTTGAAACAGTGTGATGATTCTGGGAACTTCAGTAGCTCCGAAAGGCTGAAGGAAAGAATGATTGCACAAAACAGGACCTGAAATAAAGCAGTTTCAGCCAAGATGGTGGTAAAAAGATGGATAATGAAGCCATTGAAGGATAGGTTTCTAATGGAACTTTCTAGATGGCTGACCCCAGGGATGAGTGTCAGGCGCAACTATGTAATATTAGTGGAAGGAACTAATTAAAAAGATACCGCTTACAGGGTCCAGCCTGGAATTCAGATTCAGGAAGCCTTGGGTGGGAGGCAGAATCTGAATTTTAATAATATTCCCCTTCTCCCATATGAATCTAAAGCACGTGAAGGTTTAAGAGTTCAGTAAAGACAAAATTTCAGGGCCATCTGTCATTGAGAGGCTGGAAGAAGAAGAGGAATCATCAAAAGGCAGAAGAGGTGGGGGAAGAACAGAAGTGTGCAACAATGTCGGACCTTACAGAGCACTGAGAAGGATGAGGGCATGGCAAGCAGACGGTTAAATAAATTGCTTCTAATGAGAACATACGTGGGGAAGCTAGTGTCCGACCCTGCTATGTGCCCAGCGAGTTCTGTGCATGAGAAAAGACTTTGAATATAGTGGTGGGAACAAAGGCAAAGATGCAAATGTTTAAGAAGGGAATGACCAACCAAAATTAAAAGGCCAGCAACAAGTTGAGGAAAATATTCACAGCAGGTGTGATATGAAGGGTTAATATTATTTTTATACAAAAAAGCCTCCGTAGGGGCACCTGGGTGGCTCAGTCGTTAAGCGTCTGCCTTCGGCTTAGGTCATGATCTCAGGGTCCTGGGATCGAGCCCCGCATCAGGCTCCCTGCTCAGCGGGAAGCCTGCTTCTCCCTCTCCCACTCCCCCTGCTTGTGTTCCCTCTCTCGCTGTGTCTCTCTGTCAAATAAATAAATAAAATCTTAAAAAAAAAAAACCAAAAACCTCTCCCTAGCAAATAAGAGTCCCCCCCCAAAACCCAGTAGATAAATGGTCAGAGAGGTTGCACTGAAAACCCAGAAAAGAGGAGGTAGAACTGGTTAACAAATGTGGAGGTTTAGCCTCACTAGTATCAGCAAAATGCAAGTTGAAATGAGGTGCCATATTTTGACTCTTTAAGTTTGGGATAGTAACGTAAATAGCAATGGCCCTTTTGGAAACAGACAGCATGTCAAACACCATAAAAATTGTCCCTGCTGGTTTTACCCTTTAATTTTACTTCGGGAATTTCTCCTAAAGAAGTAATTCAAGGGGCGCCTGGCTGGCTCAGTTGGAAGGGCATGCGACTCTTGATCTTGGGGTTGTGAGTTCAAGCCCCACACTGGATGTAGAGAATACTAAAATAAACAAACTTTAGGAGTAAAGAGAAATAATTCAAAGTATGGAAAAACTGAAAGCAGAAGGATGTTCAACATGACATTCTAACTGAAAAAATTGGCGACGATTTCAAAAGTCAATAAGATAATGACTAAATAATTACAGGAAACCAATTTACTAGACCTTTACAGAGTTATTAATTTTTCATGACTATATAATGATATGTTTTATATTAAGTGGGAAAAGTGGGATACAAAACAGTATACATACACTGTCATATAAATTTTGTTTAAAAAAAACGATGTGTTTGTCAATTATATTCAGTATATATTAAGTGGATGGAAGAGGAACTGGAGGAAACCCCATGAAGTGTTAATAGTAACTTCACTGGGTGATGGGAATTTGGGAAACTTTCATTTTATATATTTTTCTGTATTTTCTACATTTTTTACCTAGACCATGCAATCCTTTGAAAATCAGAATTAAAATCAAAATACTATTTGTTTTCAAAAGTAAGGCATCAACTCGGATGTAGCTTATAATGATGTTTCTAAATTACATGAGAAAAAAGACTAGCAAGAGAGATAGGATTATGGGTGGGTTTTTTTTTTCCCTTCTTTGTTTTCCAAGTTGTTCCTAACGTGGCTGCAGACCTTTTAGAATTTGGAACGTGTATATAACAATGAATGGCATGGTTGGACGTAAGTGCTACGAAAGGCAGAGGGGAAGGCAAAGCAAGATGTGTGGGGTTCGACTTTTCTGGACTCTCTTGAAGGTCAAGGTGACGACCCATGTGTATGAGGGAGGCCTGTGAGGTTGCTCAGAAGATGCTGACCTGTGAGCAGCCTGGGTCTCTTACAGACCCCACCTTGCTTTCCCAGCTTCTCACTTCCCAGTTCCTGGTGCTTAAGGTCTATCGGAAGGTTTCCTCCTCACTCTCCAGAAGCTTTCACAAGATGCTGGAATATTATTATTGCATGGGTTTGAGCATTGAGTTCACTTTGTGCTCTTGAGTGTAGGGACCCCAGGTTCTGATTCGGTTTCTCTGAGAGTGGATACAGGGACCCAGGGTCTGTAGAAGAATGACAGCCATTTGCGAGGACAAGACTGGAGGGGCCACAAACGCTCAGATCCCGAGAGGCCCCCAGTTGAGGACAGTTAGTGCATGTTGCTCATCCCAGGCCAGAGTGGCCATCCAGTCTTTAAAAAAAAATAAAGGAACAAAAGAAAAAAAAGAAAAAGGGATATAGCCATTTCCTTAAGTACTGTTTGAATATTTGTTTAAGTGTGGAAAGTAGGTTTGAATCCTTTTCTGGATTTCAATTTTAAATAAATATTTAATTTGTAAATAAAAGTGAGATGTGGTTCTTTAAAAATGATCTGGTATTTAAACAGTGCTGTAGTGGGCTGGTTGAGAGGAGCTCGGCTGTGCATGGCTGAGGGCAAAGCCCTGAAAGGAGGGAGGAACTGACAGAGCTCTACTAATCCAGTAGAAACCAACCCTTGAGTAGAAAAAGGAATGTCTTGGGTGTTCATGCCAGACAGTTGAGGAAAAAGAGATCCAGCTGCGGTTGGGAATTTCCTCCCCATTAGGTGAAGCAGACAATTGAAAGTGCTCGGCCTAAGGCAAGGTCCAGGTGAAAGCTGCCTGCTCCGGCCTTTCACAGCAAGAAAGGACATCACCAGAACCAAGGGTGGGCCCGGTCAGTGCTCCCAGAGTTTTCACTCCAGTGATCCTGGGCAAGTTAGAGACCTGTGCTCTGCTTTAGCCTGAGGGAAAACCAGAGTCAGCAAACCCAGTTCAACTCAGCAAAAGTTTGTTGATCGTATGCAACCTTTCAGGGATTTTGCTAGGCACAGAGGAGATGACAGAGATGGACCTTCCCTCACATTGTAAACACTCTGGTTGGATAAAAGGATAAGTATGAATGTAAAGCAACGTCCTCTTTTTGAGGAATAATTTTGGAAATAAAATCCCACATTTGGGGCATAAACAACAGGCTAATGCAAAAGAAGCCCAATTTGGGGGCGCCTGGCTGGCTCAGTAGAGCATGCGACTCTTGATCTCAGGGTCATGGGTTTGAGCCCCACGTTGGGCACAGAATTTACCTAAAAAAAAGAAGAAGCCCAATTATTTATAGGTTTTCTTTTTCTTTAGGTATAATTTTAAATTCTTTTAAATACTTGTAGTCCCCTCCTTTTGAATTTAATATTGTCCTGAAAATGTCCTCTAAAGTAGGATGTCAGCCTCTGGAGGGAAGGAACATTTACCTGACACATTCACTGTACCTAGAACAGTAGTCAGACAACAGGTAGACAGGTTCCGAGGGGTGTTCTGTCTCCCAGGAAGCTAATTATAAACTTCTTAAGTGCCTTTCACCTTTGATACAGTCTCCTGAGATGTATTTTCAGTGTTCCATGTGGTCTTTATTTTTATGCTCCTCTTTCACATCTGAACATAACGTCCGTGAGCATCTGGCCGAGCCTGAGGAATCATGCTTGCAGCATCCCCCTTGGTTTCCATCTTGACGTCTTTGTGATCACTCCACTTTTAGTCACCAGCACTCCTGTTCTCCCATGTCCCACTAATTGCAAAATGCAGTGAGATGCTGAAATCTTCTGGATGAGCACGGCCATACTGACAAAGAAGGGGATGACGCCAACTCACCGTTTATCAGATGATTTTCCAAAGCTCACCATCTTTATTCTGAAAAGCAGTGTAGGGATGCAGCAAAAAAGTCTCAGTTCAGGAGTCTAGTGTTTCCAAAGCTGAGGACAGCCTCGAATGGCTTTTGCTATACCTGGTAGCTGCTCAGCCGAATTTCAGGCAGACCTAGTAACGAGAGAAAATAAATAGCCTTACAGTGAGCCAGGCTTAGAAGCCCAAACCTACAAATTTGCAGCCAGATGTTACCTTTATAAACTTGTGACTTAACCTCTTCACAAAGCTTCCTGTGAGCAAGGCTGAGAATCTTAGAATACACTAAATCCGTGTTTGTGAACCTGACAGCGAAGGGCCCAGAGGCATGTGTGTGCCTGGTGGGCTACGTGCTGTGTGAATCCTTCGGGTGCTGGGCTCCAGGTCCCCTTCTTCCGCTCTTTTCTCCTGAGGCAGAGCCCACGCTGGTGCACTAACCTGCAGCATCTCTGTGCTTCTCTTCTTACCTCCTCTTTCCCCTTCTCTTTCCCTTTCGCTGTGGTGTGTCCAGAAAAGGAAGTCGAGTTCCAGCGTGCACCTAATGGTGAGCCTTGCCTGCCCACCCATCTGCCTACTCCATGCTGCCTGCACCCGCCTGCCAGCCACGCAACCCCATTCTGCCATGTGCGTGTACTTCACTCATCCTCACTGCATGTCTGTGCTGTATGGGCACGCGCGGCCTGTCCTGCCAGGCGGGGGCCGCGGCCCAAGGTCTCCCGGTGGCCTGACCGGTGGGCATCGGAGTGTACGGTGTGCCCCGCCCCCCCCTGCAGAGCTTGGACTGCCTCCAGCAGCCCAGGGCAGGACGTGAAGCTAGCAGGGACTGGGGGGAGTCCCAGGGAGAGACCCTCACATGCCGTTGCTCAGAAGGAGAGGCCCTGCTCTCCGGGCACTTACTGGCAGCCGGTGGGCATGTGTGCGGTGGGCAGAGAGCTGGTCTGCAGTAGGCTCACAGCCCCGAGCCTCGCTCTCTGGGCCTGTGCCCCTGGGCGAGTGCCTGTGAACAGGCCGTGCCAACGGTTCATCCTTCCCACCCAGCCCTCAGTGGGGACAGCTGAAAGACTAGAGAGAATGCATCTTCTTTCTCGTGGGACCCAGGCCACCAAGGGAGCATAGCAGGCCTGAATTGTTATGAAACCATCCATTAAAGCCAGAGGTGGGGCCATGTGGGTGACATCCCAGCCCTCTGCACATAGGGCGGGTTTAAGGGAGCCCTGGAGTCTTTGCCTCCTGCCAGGGTGTCTGTCTCAGCTGGGCTTTGCAGGCAGGACAGCCTTATCTGGTCAGCCCCAAACAGGTCGGACTTAGTAGCTGAGCGATGACAGCTCTGCTCCTTCTCAGGGGAGTGGTAGAGAGCAGAGTTCACATGAGTTTGACCCACATCCTGACTCTTCCTGGGACCCCTCTTCTCCAGCCTGAAGGGTTCAATGGGTTCTGGTAGCACTTGGTGCCTGGCTTAAGGTTCCATGCCTAGCCCTGGGTTTGGGGACATCTCAGCCATTGACAGCAACCTAGGGTTGGATGCCTTCAGGTCTGGTCCAAGGGGCCATAAAAGAAGCCTCCAGGCAGGAAGAAATAGGACAGTCTGGATAGCTTTCCGTGTGTATCCTAGGAGAGAAGAAGCACATCCTACCTGCCAGGGTCTCCTCGTTTGTGCCCTGCTCAGAGATGGTAGCTATAAGTTTGTCTGTCTTTTGAAGAACTTGCAGGCATCGGGCTGTTCCTCGGTGGCCACTGGCTCCATCGGGACTCCCGGTGAGACTGAGTACATCGGTGAGGGCATCGTAAGAGGCTCTCGGCCCTGGAGAGCAGCCTCCTTCCTTCCCCGTCATCTCCCCAAACCCTCCCTTGCTGTGCCACTCGGTGTAACGTTTCAAAAGGCAAGGAGATGTCCCAAGATACCCCGGTGGCCCGCTGTTAGGAATGTTGGCCTGCTGGGCAGCCTACTCTCCCAGGGGCGGGGTTCTCAGGCTACAGCCACCTCCCACCCCCAGATTCACCTGCCCCCCCTTGGAGCTCTGCCCTCACTCCTAGTTGAGCAAGTCCACGACTTACCAGGCAGAAAGGCCAACAGCACAGCCTTGTCTCTGCTCCCTGGGGGCAGTGGGTGCATTCTGTATCCAAAGTCACATCCCCCCTGTTTCCTCTCTGGACACCATCTTCTAGGCGAGGTTTTCTTTCTCTTCGTGCTCCTCCTCTTTTCAGGTCAGGCTTCAGGCTGGTGTCTTAAGGGAAAGGAAATGCAGGTGGCAGGTTGAAAGGGCAGCAGGAAACTGCCCACAGATAGGGGACCCAGAGTTTCTGCATTTTGTTCTGCTTTCTTATAAACCCCCCTTCTTTTTCCTGTGAAGTGAGAAGATCCTGACTTTCTTTGGGTAAAATGTGACTGTGCGATGACATGGCATCTGGCATAAGCAGAGATTTCTGGAGAGATGCTTTGAAACAAGCCTTTGGCCCGGGCCCACCTTAAGAGTGCCTCCAGCGTTAGGTCTCTGGGCCCCTCCACATACTCCCCTCCTCCAGTCGATCATCTCTCCGACCATTATTCCCATCCACACAGTATTACAGAGGCCACCTCAGGCCTAGCTCCTCCGGGCCAGGCCGGGGGGCAAGGGAGGTCTGGGAGTCGAACCTGAGCGGCTTTGGTGACTCCAGAGGAACTAAACCATCTGTTTTCTTGTCTCAGCCACAGAGCAACAACAAAAACAGTCTCGTAAGCCCAGCCCAAGAGCCCGCGCCCTTGCAGACGGCCATGGTACCTCCTGACTCCGGCTTCTCCACCCCTGCCCCTGGCTGCCTTCCTCTCCTTCTCCTTTCCTCTTCTTGCCCTCCCTCCCAGGCCTCCTTGGCCCTTTCCTTCTCATCCCTGTAGAGCAGGCTGCTTTGTGTCCTGCTCTGTGGGCCCCTTCCCCCTCATTTTCCCATGTGGCCATGCTCCTTCCTGCACCGCACAACTTCCGCTCCTGCTCCTTCTGCTGTTGGGGGTGGGGAAGAGTGGTCAGGGCTCTCAGCTAACCCTCTTAGCCCCAGGCGGGGGCCCCATGGGTCTGCTCTGGGGGCCGGGAAGGTGAGTGGCTTATAAAAGAGGGTAGGAGCTTTCTTGGGACCTGTCATTCAGTTCTTGGAGGCCTCCTTGTAAAATCAGCCTCAGCCTCTCCTCTGCAAAGCTACAAACAGGAAGGCGGGCTGGGGTCCCCCACCTCTGCATGGTGTCGAGGCCTCTGAGGTCCTGGAGAGCCCCATGTTGGGGGCACCGTGTGCTCCCAGAGCTCTTTCGCTGGTAGTGACTAACTAGAGAGTTCGCAGGGGGGATGCCTGGGAGGGGTGATGGGCCTGCTGCTCCTGCCTGCAGCCTGGGACCCTCATGCTGCCTCACGGCACAATAGGGCCAGGAACTCTGACGCAGGCACAGGTGGTAAAGCAGGCAGCTCCCTGGGCTCAGTTTGCTGAGGGGGAATCCTGGGTCTTTCTGGGAGACTTTAGTCTGGTCTCTCTATGTCCCTGCCTCCTACACACCCCTTGGTGAACGCTGTTGGCAGGGCCTGGCCTGGGCCCTCAGACCCACGGCTCCTCCAGCATATTTGTCCCGTGGGGAAAGAACCCTTAGATCCAGCAGGAATTGGGGACAGAGGCCCTTGTCCTCTCAGCTTCTCTGGTACCTGCTCTTGTTAAGTGCCAGGCCTGTCCTTCTTACTCAGCCAGTACTCTCCCCTAAATCTGGGGCTTCCCAGCTACCTGGGACCCAGGTGAGCCAGGATATTTTGTCTTGCGGGAGTGGCTGGTGGGCAGGCCTCTGTGGTCATCGTAGGGTCTAAGAGGGACTGGGCTAAAGGATGGGGTCCCTCAGTGAAGAGCCGTAGTTCTGTCCCCAGGTCAGGAGGATAATTTTCATCTTCTCTCACAGGAGCCACAAACCACCGTGGTACACAACGCTACAGATGGGATCAAGGTGAGTGGCTCCTGAGCTGGTCTCCTGCTTTAGGGATCAGCAAGAAACAGGTGGGCTGGGTCCTGTGGTGTCTGTGGGGCCTGTAGATGGCAGCCTGCAGGCCGCGCCTTGAGGCCAGATGTGGGCAGAGTCTAGGCTGGGGATAATGTGTACCTGTTTGTCGCTCCAGTCCCTGAAAGGCCATTATGCTTCATGCCCTATAGTCAGACAGGCCTGGGTTTGAATCCTGGGCCACTGAGTAAGTCACTGTAGTACTCTGCACCTCAATTTCCTTATCTGTGAATGAAGGATAATAATAATGGCATCTCCCTCCATGACTTGTGAGGCTTAAATGACAGCAAACAGCTAGAAAAAGAGACAAGAGTATAATCAGACCCTAGAGCATCCTCCATTGCCTCACCCCATTATGCTGTCAATAACTTTGTCGTCTTATTGGCACCCCCATTAGTAAATATTTACCGAGCCCCAAACCATCCATGGCTCTGGTCTACAGAGGTGACAAGACAAAAATCTCTCTCCACGGGTGTAGGGGAAGCAGATAATAAACCAAAATCCATATGAGTAAGATAAAATCCAATAGTGGTAAGTGCTATGAAGAAAATGACACAAAGGAAAGAGAGGGGGTGAACAGGGCTTTTCTTTAAGTGGCCAGGGAAGGACCTCCCTCGGGAGCTGAGTCTTTGAGCTAAAAACTAAACGGTGGGAAGGAAACAGCCAGGCAGACTCTGGGGCAGAGTGCCCTAGACAGGAGACCTGCAAGTGCAGGGGCTTAGCCAACATACAGAACAGAGGAAATGAAGCAGACAGAGCCAAGAGTGTGAGGCCTGGGGAAAGCGGCAGGAGGGGGATGGCACTGGAGAAGCAGGAGGCCTGCTACATAGGACTTCATAGCAGTATGCATCTTCTTCCGGCACCAAGGAGAAGCTATTGGAGGTTCTTAGCGGGGGAGTAATGTAGTCTCATTGACACTTTGAAAAGCCCCTCTGGCCATGTTAGGGGCAAGAACTTTAGGGAGGAGGCAAGCATGGATGCAGGGGGACTGGGAAGCTATTGTAGTCTAGGCGCCAGATACTGGTCACTTGGACTCAGAGCGTAGCTGTGCGTTTGAAGAGAAGAGGTAGGGGTGTCTGGCTGGCTCGGTTGATAGAGCATGCAACTCTTGATCTCGGGATTGTGAGTTCGAGCCCCACGTTGGGTGTAGAGATTACTTCAACATAAAATCTTTTTTTCTTTTTTTTTAAGGTTTTATTTATTCACTTGAGACACAGAGATACAGAAAGAGAGAGAGAGAGCATGAGCAGGGAGAGAGGCAGAGGGAGAGGGAGAAGCAGGCTCCCCTCTGAGCCAGGAGCCTGATGTGGGGCTCGATCCCAGGCCTCTGGGATCATGACCTGAGCCGAAGGCAGACACTTAACTGTCTGAGCCACCCAGGCGCCCCCATAAAATCTTTTTTTAAAAAAAAATGAAGAGAAGAGGTAGGAGACAGGATTTACTTTGGAGGTAGGACTGATAGATTTGAATTTAGGTTGGATAAATAAAATATAAGGGAAAGAGAGAAAGCTAAGATTCAACCTAGAATCAAACCTAGAAGAGGACTCCAGGTTTTAACAACAGGATAGATAGTGTCATTTACCGAGTTGGGGAAGAGTAGGGGGTTGGGGAGGACTGCGTTTGGGAATCCAGGGTTCTGTAAAAAAAAGTCAGATGGCAAGGGTGAAAATCAAACCTTTCATGATTCTTCCTTGCACCTCCTGCAGGAGCACATACTCTGCTTTTGTTCTGCTCGGTTCCTTTAGTGTCCAAGGGCCTGAGTGTATAGAAACATGTTCTTTTTGGCCTACAGGGCTCCACAGAGAGCTGCAACACCACCACAGAAGATGAAGACCTCAAAGGTAGGTGCTGACCCTTGGTGGGGAAGGGACCCTAGCAGTGTCCCAGGTACATTGGCTCTTGTTTGTCCCCAGAATTGAGAATGATGACTCCTTATACTCTAGGAGAGGGCTTGGCATAAAAAGCTCCTTTTCATGGGCTAAGATGTGAGGTCCCTGCCTGGCCTGGCTGGGCTGGGCAAGAGGCTTCTCTTCTTTGACCCCAAGTCTGGAATAGCTAAACCAGAGCTTTTCCTGAGGCTTTCCAGGGCCAGGGCTCAGAGAACCATTCCTATTGCTGATAATGATGTAACATCCCAGTAAAGGAACGTCCTGAGTCCCTGCAGAAGTAGCCCACAAATACAGTGAGTCATTAGGAGGGTGACCCATTGTCCTGATTCCCCTAGGGTTGAGGCGATTCCCAGGATGTGGAACTTTCAGTTTTAAAACTGGAACCGTCCTGGGCACATTGGGATCAGTGACTCTTGTCACAAAGTCTTGTCATGAATGATGGAATCAGGACCACATTTGGCCATGTCCTGGTGGTCCCTTGAGGAGGTGTGGGAGGGCATGGCAGACCAGACCACCGGGAATCTCTGTCCTGTTCTTCGGTTTGGCCTCCTGGAATTGCTCCCTTTGCCATCAGTAAGTGACCTGAGGCCAGGCTCGCAGAACAGATGGAGAAATGCTGAAGGACAGAGCTGAGAGAGCACACCCAGGGGCAGTAAAGGGGCAGTAAACCTTTGGGAACCAAAAAATAGAAAGCATAAACATATAAGGTAGTAAAGAACTGTACCTCTAGGGCTGCTGGGATTCAGGCCAGAGCAGTTCAGTTCTGGTGATGCCGTGGAGTGGCTCCTTCACGGCTCTTGACCTTGTAGCCTGGCCCCCTACAACATCTTCCCTGGGAGCAGGGGTCCTTATACAGGCTATTTGAAGGCTCCTCTGGAAGCCACAAGCCCAAGTCTGCACCTTCCTGGGGCTGTCAGCTGGGAGGCCTCTCTGGCAGAGGCGGCAGCGTGGGATGTGGTCCAGGTGTCCCCAGCAGCCCGAGGCGTTGCCTTGCCCCGGCTCTGCAGTGCCACGGGCTTGGGTCCTGTCTGGCTTGCTCGCTCACCTGCCTTGTTCTGTTTGTTTTGGCTGCTCTGCCTTGCCCTGCCCTGCCCTGGCTGGCTAGCTGCCCCGCTCCGCACTGGGAATGGCAGCTCGGGGCCTGAAGGACGGAGCTCCCGGGACAGAACAGCCCCCTCTGCAGGCATGCAGCCCCAGCCTTCTCTCTGCTCCTCAGCCAGTAAGTGTGAGGGAGGCACAATCTGGCTTCTGTCTCCCTGGCTCATCCTGAAGCCCCTCAGGGATCTCCCCACCCCCGCTCCCCCAGAGCTGTCAGCCCAACCCAGCTGTCTGTCTTAGTAAGCTTGGGGAGCTCGGCCTCTGCTGGGTGGGGGAGCTGATTGGAGGTGCTGTTAATGCCAGGCAGGGGCCCCTGGGACCAGGGCCCAAAGACATAAAGGAGAGTGGGTAGAAGAACTTGGCATGGTGGGAAGGAACAGAAAGCCCCGGGGACATTCAGTGGGCCTCACGGCAGCAATGAGAAGAAAGAAGGGCCGAGTCCGAAATCAGGTCAAAGGTGGTGGGAGCGGGGCTGATGATGAAATTGCTGTAGCCAAGAGCCATATTGGGATGTGGTGTTGCCTGAGGCTCAGCATATCATATTAAGAGCATGAGGCTTGGGGTGAAACAGACCCGAGTTTAAATCCCAGCTACACTACCTCCAGAAATGTGTGAAGCAGCTTACACCTCCCAGAGCCTCAGCCTCCTTCTCTATAAAGTGGGAATAAAACAGCACCTACCTCAGAGCACTGCCGTGAAAAATAAATGAGAGAGTAGAATGTCTTGATACGATGCCTTGCTGGGTTAATGGTAGCTCATATTTATATTTTAAGTTATGTCTGTGTAGAGAATGCCTTTGTCTGCTTCTTTTCCTTCTACCCTCTATCCTTTTAGAGTTTATAAACACAATCCTCTTCACCCATAGGGCCCCAGTCAGGTCCTGCACATGGGTTTGGTGGGGTTGGGGAGGGGGTGTGTGTGTGTGTGTGTGTGTGTGTGTGTGTGTGTGCACGTGACCTACCTGCTTACCTCTGGGACGTGGATAGAGCTCGTTTGTTCCCCTAACGTGCTGCTTACTCACCTGGAGCTGCCTCCACGACAGGGCTGGTGGCTGTGGGGCCCCCCCCTGGCCATGTCTTTGGCTGTGCTGCCCTCTCCCAGCTGTGCCCCTTGGCTGCGCTGTTCTAATGCGCCCATTTGTCTCGCAGCCTCCCACTCCTGTGAGGAGAGCCTGGGCCAGCCCGGGGCTCTGGTCAGGGTTCGCCTGAGCACAGTCTGAGCCCTCTCTTACCCTAGCGGTGCCCCTGCTCATAGTGGTGCTCCCCGTCAGGATACCACCAGCAGCAGTCCCTTGGCTTTGGATGGGGTAGGGGTGGGGGGCTCTGAGGGCACCAATTCTGCCTGCCTGTCATTCTGAGCCTTGTCTTGGTTTCCTTGAGGGACACATCCTGGCATGAGAGCTGGTGTGAGATTTAGAGCTTTCCCAAGGCTCGTCCAGGGTAAATGGAGCCATCTCTCTGGTGAGAAGCTCCGCTTAAAAAGAAGGTTTATAGTTCCAAGATCCTTTATCCCCAGAAAAGCCCTGTGGAGGAGATGAGCAGGGTGAAGAGAATTATGCATCCATCCCAGGGCTCCGTTCATCCTTTCAGAGCCCTCATCCCTGGCTAGGTTCTGCTCTCAGGCTGGCTGTTGCCCAGGGCTAGGTTCTGGACCACTGAGTGAGGGCTAGGGGTGGTGTGGTGGTGGTAGTAATTGAGACCTGACTGAGCCCCTTCAGGTGAGAGAAGTAAGCAGGTGGTGGAGATAGCCATATCAGGAGATGCTTCTTAGAGAGGCTGAACGTGCTGCAGATGGGATGCACGGAGTCTGGGCAGAGTATTAATGATGGCCAGGCTCCTCAACTGTAAAAGACAAGAGTGTTTTCTGCATCCTGGTTGTTGATGGAGAGGGAGACAAAGGCCAGAGAACCATACCTAATGGGTGGACTTTGGGAGGAGGGGGCCGTTAGCTCTATAGGACAACAGAGAAGGAATGAAGAGAAAAGTGGGCTCACTTTTCCTGCAGAGGGCCTTAATGTTCAAGACAGGGAAGAGGGTTATCTTTGTCACAGAGATCACAGGGGATTCTCTGAAGGATTGGGGAGGGCTCTGTCACTTGGGAGCTCCCCAGTTCCATGCAGGTAAATTGCTGGGTTTTTCCCCCCACAGTGCGAAAACAGGAGATCATTAAGATCACAGAACAACTGATTGAGGCCATCAACAATGGGGACTTTGAAGCCTACACGTGAGTAGAGACCCATTTCCTTGTGACCCAAGTCATCTCTTGAGGCCTTCCATCCTCCCCAAAATCAACTTGGACCCTGGGAAAAGGGAAAGCTGGGCCTTGGGCATAGTGCCTGAATTAAACACCAGGCCCTTGGGCTGGGATCTCTCCCAGGTAGATACCCTGTGATAGCACCCCGCACCTCCGAAGATCCTAGCCATCTTGTCAGGCCTAGCCCACAGCTAACCTGCTGCAGGACAGATGCCACTGACAAGAAAACAAGACAAGTCACCCCTGTAGGAGACTGACAGGCTGCTTTTCTTTCTGCAGGAAGATTTGCGATCCAGGCCTCACTTCCTTTGAGCCTGAGGCCCTTGGTAACCTCGTGGAGGGGATGGATTTCCATAAGTTTTACTTTGAGAATCGTGAGTGGGTTCGTGCTGCTGATATACTCCTGCCTGCCCCTTCACCCCCTTTGCCTCTGTCCCTGCTCCCCTTCTCCTCTTCCCAGTTGCCCGCTTTTCCCTTGTTTGACCTGCTTGGCTGCACCCTGGTCTATGTGTTTGCCTCCTTGTACCCCGAGGATGGTCTTAAACTGACACCTTGGAAGGACCTGCTCCAGAGCCCCTACGTGCCCCTTCATTCTGCAGCAGCTTTGTGGCAGAACTGGTTTCACAATCAGGGTCACTATTCCATTCAGCCTCACCTCTCTCCGCAAAGACTGGAAACCACTGAGATCAGGTTGAGATGTCAGCAAGTAATAATGAAGCTCTTTATCTACAGGTTTCACAGTAGAGGAAAGTAAAACCAGGATAAGAATGCACAAGCAAGTAGCAGGGCACTGTAGGTGATTTGTGAGATCAGAAGCTGTGGCTTGGGTCCCTCCTGAATATGGAGGGAGACAGTCCTGGCTGAGGGGCTGTGTACTCTGGACAGTTCGTGGAAGTCCCAGGGGATAAGAAGATGAATCACCACCTCCTCCTATCTTTCTCTCCACTCTCTAGCACCCTCCTCCTCCCTATTTTTTTTTTTCTTTTCTTTCCTACATTATCCTAGGCCTTCCCCATCCTGCCCCAAGTTCTGTTTTATTTTGTCACTGTTTTCTCTACTAACTACCAACCTCATCATGTCTCAGCTGCAAATGTAAGCCCTTGGCTATCTAAGTAATTCTATTAGCCAGAAGCAGCTTCAGAGTTTATAGAAGCCCTAGGGAGGGTCTCAGGTAGCCCCTGTCCCACATTTGAAATGAATTAAAATGTGAATCTCATTAAAAGCCACACAATCTGCCGTGTTCATGATAATGGTAACACAACTTCTTTTACCTTTCCCCCAGAGAAACCTGAGAACCCTGGGGATCTCCTGAGCTTGGTGCTTTGGTGATTCTATTTTAACTTTGGACGTTTTTGGTTTTTTCTTTCTAAATCACAAATGCACTTTGAAATCTTAAGCTCTTGATTTTGCTCTGCAGCCAGTTAGGGACAAGCCAACCCTTAGGAAATCTAAACATCAGCCTGGAAGAGTGGAAAGATCTTAGGCTTTAGTGAAGAGTCATATGGTCTTGAGTTCAAATGTTGTGTGATTTGAGCAAATTACTTAACGTCCTTGAACCTGTTTCATCATCTTACAATAAAGATAATCATATTGACCAAGAAATATAGCTTATGTATGTAAAAACCCCCAGCACAATGTCTGATTAAAGTAGCAGTGGCTATTATCATTGTTCTCCACCTCTTTCTTCCTTTTGGATAACTGAGACTAATGTTCTGGGATTTCCTGGCCTCTGGTGTGTGGGGGACTTAGAGACTCCCTGAATGGCTGCTGGAGAGAGGGTGAGACCTGAAGTGCAGGCGGGGAGGGAAATCCGTGCTCAGGCCTGACGCCCTCCTACCTCCCGCACTCTGCCTTGCCCCCTGCAGTTCTGTCCAAGAACAGCAAGCCCATCCACACCACCATCCTGAACCCGCACGTCCACGTGATCGGGGAGGACGCAGCTTGCATCGCCTACATCCGCCTCACCCAGTACATCGATGGGCAGGGTCGGCCTCGCACCAGCCAGTCGGAGGAGACCCGGGTCTGGCACCGCCGGGATGGCAAGTGGCTCAATGTCCACTATCACTGCTCAGGAGCCCCTGCTGCACCGCTGCAGTGAGCTCAGCCACAGGTGCACCTGGTAGGGGGGGTGAGGAAGGGGACAGATGGGATCAGAGGAGGAAGAGGAGGTTGAAAAGTGGCACTGGGGGAGGAGACGTGGACCATCCCAGAGGAGTGGCAGAAGCCGTCAGACAGACTTCGTCTGGCCCCAGGACTCCCAAGCTGAGCGACTTTGGACAGGTTACTTCCCTATCCTAAGCCTCAGTTTCCTTAGCTGTCAAAAGAGAGAGAGAGAGGGGTACCTACTTCACTGAGTTGAGGATTAAATAAGATACTCGTAAGTGAAGCATTTGCTCAGCAAATGTGAAGCGATGTTATATTTATTTATTTTTAAATTTTATTTATTTATTTGACAGAGAGAGACACAGTGAGAGAGGGAACACAAGCAGGGGGAGTGGGAGAGGGAGAAGCAGGCTTCCCACTGAGCAGGGAGCCCGATGGTGGGGCTCGATCCCAGGTCCCCGGGATCATGACCCGAGCCGAAGGCAGACGCTTAACGACTGAGCCACCCAGGCGCCCCCGATGTTATATTTAAATGCTAGCTTCTCCCCCATCCTCCACCTTCTCAGGCAGACTTGGCCACGTGTATCGTGTGTTGAAGTCCCTGGAACTCATCTGTGTGCTTATTGTCCTTTGTTCTGTTACCACGTCT